CGGCTCGGCCTCCCGCCGCGCCGCACCGCCCCCGGGGCGGGGCCTCCTGTCAGCTCCGCCCGGCCCCCGCCTCACCCGCGGGCCTGGCGGCGGTAGGAGGCAGCTCCTCGCCACAGACTGGGCCCCACGGGACGTTGGTAGTTGGGCTATGGCCAGCTTCTCCAACCGCTTCCTAAGGAACGGGGAGTGTGACACCAACATCACCGCGGCCGCCTGCGGGAGCTCCCCACTCCTTGCCATTGCACCACCGACACCGCCACTGCCGCGTGTGGGAGCGCGCTGCTCACCGGCCTCACGCACCCAACATGAAACCGGAGGCCTTTATGTCCTCTGTTGTTCTCTTCAAGAGAATAACAGAGGACATAAAGGCGTCTGGTTTCGTATCTTTAAAGGACAGAGTAGCAGAAAACCAGACTGTCCTCTACGGTGGCCGCCCTACCCAAGACTCAGCTTCCAAGTTTTAACCTCAATCGTCAAGTCCCTTCGATGGCCTCCTTCCCTCCCAGAGCCATCGGATACTCCCCAAGTCTAGGCAGGCATCGGACGTTTGCCCCCAGAGTCTCCAGTTAGAGATAAATCTTCAGGAGATGGCTGAGAGACACCCAGGAGATAAAAGGGTGTGAATTAAAGTAAATATTAAACGTTGAATCTGCATTAATACAGTGGGCCAACAGCAGCTCTACCTTTCGGTGGTGATCCCACAAGCGCTCACACTGGGGGTTACCCTTAGGGCTGTGTTTGGCCCCGCAAAATGTAGCAGGAGTGAGCTCCACATAAAAATCAAGTTGCTGATCCCCGAGTTCATCTCTTTTAATTCCGAGGCAGATCCCTGAGTTCGTGATTTTTAATTCTGCCTTGTCTACAGCCAGCGCCTGGGGTTGGAGCACTGCAGGGAGGCACGGTAGCAGCAGAGAGAGTTTGCTGGGGCTTTAGGAGATGGGGCAAGATGGACCCAGCAAATGGCAATTGTTGAGTCCTCTACATAGATGCAGGCTGGCATCCTGGACATTGCTGCTGTCCCAGCTCTAAGAACATAAGAATTGCCATTTACTGGGTCAGACCATAGATCCATCTTGCTGAATTTCCTGGGTCTTGCAGCAGCTGAGGGTGGATGCTGAAAGAGAGTGAACTGGGTATGACCTGGTTCCCTCCATCACTGTTCTCTCCCCACTTGCAACCTCCAGCATTTAAGGTCCATAATTCAAACGCTGCAGCCCTGACTCCTGTGCTCAATAGCTACTGATGACCTTTCCTCCAAGAATGCATCTAATCCCATTTTTAATCTAGCTAAACTGTCCACTTCCACAACACCTCGTGGCAGGGAGTTCCCAAATGCACTGCTCTATCACCCCCGCAACGAAGCCATCAAAAGGGTGGAGAGTAACAACTCCCACCCTCAACAAAAATAATTTAGTGACTGCATTTATTTTGTCAGCAGTCATCCCACTCTTTTACCATACTCCTCTCTTTCATTATTCAGGTCTGTCGTGAACTTACGTTATTATGCTATTAATGGGTTTCTGTTAAAAGTTAAGATGCATTTCATAGAAACAAGCTAGTTAGCATTGCTGTTAGCCCAAACTGAGGAATTTATTTTATAATGCTAGCTTGCATTTCTCTTCCTGGGGAAAATGATTAACAGAGGAAATGGATAAAATGCCGCTAGCAAGATCTCTAAGTTAAGTGGGATAGCAAAGCCAAAAAAACTGCTTACCCTTTCCTTGCCTTCTAGTGAAGCTGTCACGTCCATGATACTGCAGAAATGTGATTGTGAGAGCGCGACTACGGGGTGTCAGCTGAGACATATTACATAGGAAACTCTACACTTACCTGACCTCCCCACACAGCTTTCCTTAGAAGCGCTTCCTAGCTGGCAACACTGAAAACCTTAGCTGAAAGGCCAGAAGCAGATGCAATGGCTGAAAAAGATCCCTCCCCACACCATTTTTTTTGTGCACAGCCTATGGGTGCGGTGTGCATATCGTAAGTACATCCTAAAGCAAGAGGAACGGCTTTTTATGTCTGCGATTCTACCATTGTTGTTTGGGGAAACTGATAGCAGTTGACTTTGGGGAGATGTGAGACGATGAAGTCATGCTCTGACACCAACAGCTCAGCTTACAAACAAAGACATATATGTCGCTAGCCTCAAGGCTCAAAAACCAAAAGGCTGAATGATTCTTTTATTTTTTAAACATGCTCATTTTGAAGCTAATCTCATGTTTCTGTGGAGCCCAACTTGGGAGATTTGAGCTGCAGCTGGCAATACAGCAACTGTAATTAGAGAGGCATAATCTTCAGTTGCCCGCGTGTGATTTTTGCAAGTGATGGGCTCAGTCCTGTTACATATCGAGCACCTATAACCCACATGGTAAAATCCTGCCCTGCTGCAGTCAATGCTTTGCAATAGGATTAAAGTAAGGCCAAGATTTCACCCTCTGACTACAGTGAGTGCAAAAGGGCATACTGCAGCTTGCAGAATCTGATTCCAAAAACACAGCCCAAATACCGCAGTGTCTGCTAATGAGATCTTCCTCCACTAGATGTCCTCAAAGAGAAGACGTGATTAGAAGTACAGTATTGTAATGAACAGCTTCCAAGTCAATAACACTTCACCATCATTATAAAATCGCTTAATGAAAGTCATATGTGCCTGGGTCTTCAAGTGCAACCCCCTGCTACTGCAGGCCACCATGCAAGAATTCTTCAGAAGCTGTTCCAATGTCCTTTAAAAAAAATAGGTACGTTTTTGTGCCTTCAGTGTCATACAAAATATGTCATTGGCAATAATGCCAAGCAATAACAGTAAGATAGCATGTAAACAGTTTATCTACCTAGGAGGTAACAAGATGTGGGGCTAGCTGAGAGCTGGAAGCCCCTGGCCACTTCAGTGTCTGTTGTCAATTTTTGTCTCATGGGAGACGTTTGGAAGACGTGCAAGAAGGATATTTATATACAGGTTGATACCCTTTAGTTAATCTCAGGCTTTGTTCCCCCGAGGGAAAAATAGTTCAAAAGGTTGCTACCTTCATTATCATCCGATCCAAGCACCAAATTAACAGCACCTGAAAAATGAATGGTGTCCAAGCAGCACTTGATATCATCTCTCATTAAAGATGGCAACATTTAAAGGGGATCAAAAGAAAGGAGAAAAGAAAAATCCCTGCTGCCCTTGAGACAAGAAAGCATGGAAAACAGAGTCACAGGGTGAGGCAATATGACATAGCACATGTTCTCATCTCAATTAGCAGAGCAGCCAGGGTAACACCCAGACTGGGCGTTGCAACGTGCTGAAAACATGGCATGATGTAAGACGCTGCACATACAGTGCGTGCGGCAGTACATCTGAACAACAGGTGAGGTAAAAAAACAAAAACATTTGTCAAATAATTAGCACTTCTGGTGTACAGTCTTTGCATCTTCAAAGCACTTTAAAGCCATTAAAGGAATTCATCTTCACAACACCTCTACAACTGGTGGCACTATAAATATCAACTCCGGTTGCAAGTACTGAAAGCCAAGTGGAGAAGTTATGATATACAATTCATTCAAGGGAACAAGGAAACCTGTTACACAGCAAGGTTTGGGCACTCCTTGCTCCAAAGTGCAAGTAGTCAGGCTGTATCTCTCAGTGTTTGGTAGTGAAAACCAATTGGGAAAGTGAAGCACAGTTTTACTTACTTAATTTACTAAATATTTTTACCATACAGACTAGCATAGAAATGAGAGATGGAAGAAGCAACTTTAGTTACACGTGCTAAGCTCAGCAGCCGGTGAAGGATAATTCACTATAACTGATATGAAGACACTCGACAAAATGTAAAAGATTTTTTTAATGCAACAAATCACATATTTCCCTTTTACTCTCACTCTTGGAAAGGCTGAACAGTTCTGGCCAGAACTAATAGAGCCTAATGACACCAAACACAGAAAATGTCAGTCTGATCAGGAGACAGCTGCCAAAGTTCTAAGCAACTGAAAGTAGTCTTATCATGGGAAAGACTGGAAAACCTTAAGATTTGGTTTGTTTGTGTTTTGTTTTGTTTAGTTGGGGGGGGAGGGAAGTTGTGCTCTGTCCAGACCCATTTTCATATATTTCAAAAACAAGGTTTTCCATTTTCCTTTTAAGCTGACAGCCTGGTCTTTAACAGTAAAGCCAAAGGAGTAATTTAAGTAACTTTATTAATCTTAATGCTGAGCAAATTGACAACAAAATACAGAGCAGCCAGCAATTAGCTCCAAATTTATAATCTGAAATCACATGAATATCTTTACAATTTTTTCCGCTATCACTCAAAACAGTGCAGTACAAATGCTCTATTTTTAAAATACATGCTGCTTGAACTTAATACATAAACTCAGAGCATTGGCTGTTCCCAGTTTCATTCTGTTCTATGCACGTTGTTATATCACCCTCCTCATCACGGTATCAGAGTGCCTTCCACGAATGCATTAACCAACGTGTCTGCTACACTTTGCCCACACCCCCACACACACCCCTCATCTTTTTTTTTTGTTTTTTTATGGGTAAAGATTTGTGTATTCAGTCTAGCATTTTGTTATGGTAGGGTTTTGTTTTTGTTAGATGCAGCCCTCGCCATCCATCTGACATTTGAGAAGGCAGGTGGCTCCATGAAACATCTTGCATTTAGAGTGGAATGTGGCCAGGTTTGTCTCAGTTATTTTCTGCAGGAGTTTCTTTCACACTCTTGAACTGACTCTGAAATAGGCTCCATCTCCTGCAAAGATGATGCTTCATATTTATGAAAAAATGGCCTATTTTGCAGGAGAATGGAAGTCATCAGCCACAGGGGTACATTCT